GCACGTAACTCGCAGACTCTCTCGTTACGTTGTGGGAATGTAAAATGGCGAATGCGAGAGCGTGCGAATTTCTTCGAGATTCTCGTGAGACTAGTTTGGCGCATCCTTTTCTTCTCTTGTAGATGACTCTCAGGTTGTTTGGATGTATACGTGGGTATGTCTACGCCCAAGAGGAATAGAGGTGGAGGATAAGAAGAGGAGCCACGTGGGCCCTTCTCGAATTCTCATCTTTCGTCCCAGACTCCGTGGCGGGTCTACTATTTTTGGAAATAGGAGTAGACTTAGCTAGGAACCGGGTAGATTGGCGTCCCGGCAGCAAGTGGCAATAAGGCTGAGGCACTACGACGTCGGCGGAGATTCCAGGCCTAAGTTCACGGCGAACCCACTGACTCTACACTATACGATATCGGATTCCGTATATCCTTATTATCGTTTCTTCGGCATATATCTCACGGACTTGATAAATATTCATTTTTCATTAATTACTAGACTATACTCGTTCTCTCTCGGTTGGTGCAATCTTCTTCGGATCACATGGCGTCACACTACTTAATCAGATGATCGATAATTAATCGGGAATAGACTCCGTTCGCGGTTCCAGTCTCTCGAATAAACAATTTTATAGCTTGACATGCCTCCAGTTTGCGGATCTTGCTCGATTGTTTATTCCACAATATTGCACTCTGGCTCTTGACATCAATTTTCTCACGGTACAATTGAAATAACCAATTGGCATTTTATTATAGGAGCGTTAAGAATCCAAGAAAAAAATTGTTACGTCCTACGGTATACGTAACAAGCGCCGCTTACCTTTACGTACGCGCGTCCTTATGCCTATGGGCAAATTGCAATGCTCGTCATGTGTGTCATACGTCAAGTACTTACATTTATCGACTATACGAAGCGACGGTGAAAATGAAGGAGAATGGAAAGCCTCTGGCTACTCTCTTATATCTAATACAGTACCTGATAACAGGGATACGCGTACTTCTTGCCGTTACTCATCGCGGAGATTGGCGTTATCTGCGCGCAGGACAAACGAGATCGATTAATCCCGGTACAGTCTTGCAAAAATAATCCCGAACCGATCGATGATTATTATTATCTCACAGTGTCCCTGCGATTCTTCCGGGATGAGTAACCTTTGAATCCACTCGAGATGAGTGAAGTTCCAGCATCGATCCAACTACAAGTCCAACCAGCAGGACTCTTTGTCCTGTTGCCAGGAGCCAGAACGTGCCTGTGCATCGTTAGGTTTAAGGATTTCCAGTTCAGAAAATGCTGATGTATATATATATATATATATATGTATATATTAAAAAAAAATAATTTTCAGCAAGTAAATATAGACATGGTCCATATCGTTTGTAAGGTAACCCGTGATAATGCATGAAATAACGAGTTAGCAAATAAAAATTGCAGGGCTCGATAATAGATATGATATTTCGGATGAAAAATTTTTTACTCGCGGTTCGATTCTGCTTTCTGAAGTCGCAAGGGTGGCAGGACTGATTTAAGGGAGGTGGAAATGACAGCCAGTTTGACTAGCGGCACAGATATGCTGGCGACGTAGGTAGGGGATGAACGCACACATATACAGCATTCTGGTGAACCCTCCGATACTCCCTTTTCAACCCCCAAAGGGCCGTCCTCGTATATCGACCCAAAGCCACCACGAGTACAACCCCTGGCACGCGTACCTACTCCCTAGGTAGGGGACGTATTTTCCGCGAGCAAGAAGAAAATTTGCGCCTGTTTTCTGCGTCTCTGGTGTTGCGACTATGCGCTTTACATGGAATTCAACATAAATACGCACTACGTCATAACCTTCTATTTTGTTGTCGTTTCTTTCATTTGCTTTTTCTTTTCCTGTCCTGCCTATTCTCTTCCGCTTTGTTATACAGCAAAACGACACATTACTGTTTGCCAGTAGAGCGTGAATCATAAAAATAGTAGCAATTTGAAAATAGGTACTTTTCACTTGTTATATTGGTAATTAACACGTACGTAAATTCCCTAGGTATGATCACGTGTTTTTTGGTTATAAAAAAATATCCCTAGAGAAACATTGTATCGTACCAACGTAATGACTCTCGCGAATTAAATTATAAGGACACTGATGACCATAATTTTCATTAATCATTATACATTACTCGAATATAATGAAAAATCATCAAAAAAATATATCTGATTATATTCACAAAGCCATATTAACATGTCATACTTTGAATCGATTTGTCAGATATATTTTGCAACGCGCTGCTACGTGTCTCTGATAACGATTTAATAGCTCCGTACATTTTTCCATAACTGTAATTTCACAATTACTACGTGCGACGTGAAGTTGTCCGCAAAAAGCATTACTACGCACTTGCACGCACCTTTCGGATATACCAAGCGAAAACAGCATGTCTGGGTACGCGTTATTTGGATAAATTCTCCTATCCCTCTGCAGAAGACTGTCGTTGGCCACAGCAGCACGGTAGTAGAACTACTAGCGACGGTAATCGTAGTAGACTAGTAATAGTAGGAGGATAAGGGATAAAGAGAATGAGAATCGGGACACGGAGAAGAAGAAGAAGAAGAAGAAGAGGGCTACTGTCTAAGCGAGTCCATTGTTGTGTCGGGAACTTAATATGCATTTCGCTGTAGCGTCAGGGCCGTACTAAGACGGAGGGGCCCTATACGTATGCATTGGGTAATTTAAGCCAGCTATACTGTACCACTACTCCTACTGCTACCTACCGCTACCGCAGCCGCTACGCCACTTCTTCCTTTCATAATCTTATCCTTCCCTATTTGATTTCTTCTTCTTCTGCTTCCTCCGCCCTCTGTTCACTAGCACAGTATAGCGTTAGAGTATGCGCACCCGTATTCAGGTGTGTGAATAAATGTTATTGGAGGAAGATATGATTTTTGAGGAAGGAAAAATAAATAGAGGAAAAAAAAGGGGTAAAAAAAAGTTGAAGACGCAGTGGAACAGAAAGAGATGGAATAGAAATGAGAGTTCAAGAGAAGTGTATAAATCCATGGTAGATGGTATAGCCGCGCGTTGCAGGCCCGTGTTCCGGCCGCACCCTTGTGTACTTGAATTTACTACGCCATTCACGTTTGCGTCTACATAAATTGTTGCGTCCTCGTGTGCACGGAGGGCGCGCGCGCACGCGCGCGCACGCACGCACGGACGCACGCACGGACGCACGCTCTCTTGCTCGCTCGTGGTACCACTGGTAAAAGGAAAGGGAAAAGCCTGCGGGCTCTTTGCTGGGACTTACAAAGCCGATCCACGGAGAGGGGTCCTAGCTGTGGCGGGAGTAGGTGGACAAGATACTGGAGAATGTAGGTAGGTAGGCAGATAGATAAAGCGAGTGAGAATCTGTATAAGGTGAAGGTGACAGAGGTTGAAGGTTGAAAAGTTTCCAGAGGGTAGAAGGGTTATGGAGTCGTGCTAAGGAGTCGTGCTAAGGAGTTACATCGAGGCCTTAATGGTTACGTATACATGCATGTGGGAAGGGACGGCTTGGTCCTGACAGCGACCTAATTTTTAATTTCCATCGCTCGAAAGGGCCCCTGCTACGAGGAGGAAGAACGAACAGGTTTTCAGGTTGGTAGGTACGGGGCCTCACGAAGCGTGACTACCTGACGACGTGGCTTCCCTCTCTCCTCCCTTTTGCCTCTGCTTTATTCTCTCTCGCCACTTCTGACTCTCCTCTCTCCTCTCTCTCTCCTCTCTCTCTCTCTCTCTCTCCCCCTCTCTCTCTCTCTCTCCCTCTCTCTCTCTCTCTCTCTCTCTCTCTCGGTATCCGTCTCTCTCGTTTCTTCTGACTCTCCTCTCTCCTC